TATGCTGATTTGCTGCTCAAGAAACATTATTATTATTATTATCAAAGTTGAAAGCAGTTGTTCTGCTTAATATATATATGTTAAAAAGATTTTTTTGAAATATGAATCTTGTAACATTATAAATGCTCTTACTGTCACTTTTAAACAATTGAAAGCATCCTTGCTAAAAGACGTATTCATATCTGTATATGTTTTCTTGTGTCCAGTCCTCCAGCACCAGGCTGATGTTCTGCACCACCGGCGTCCTTTTGCGCAGGTTAGAGGGCGACTCTGAGCTCAGCGGCATCACACATGTGATCGTGGATGAGGTCCATGAACGGACAGAAGAGAGGTTTGTGGAAAGCAAACGTACACGTAACAACACAACCTGAGTCTGACAGTAACGCAACTCCTGTCTCACAGTGACTTCCTGTTGCTGGTTCTGAAGGATCTGATTGCAAAAAGAATGGATCTGAAAATAATTATGATGAGTGCAACCCTGAATGCTGAGCTCTTCTCACAGTACTTCAACAAATGCCCCAGCATCCATATACCAGGTACTCCATCCCATTCCTGATTTTTAAAAAACGAGAGCTTAAATTATATCATGAAACATTGACTGATCAGTGATCACGGTTATTGATAGTGAAGCGATGTAGTGCAACTTTGAAAAGATACAAACTTTAATATTTAATCTATCACACATGTCCTACTTATTTTTTTAAATGGACTTTCTTATCTGAAGGACGCACGTTCCCAGTGGAGCAGTTCTTTCTTGAAGATGCCATCGCTAAGACCAGGTATTCACATAAAACACATTTTGCCTCGTCTATGATTATTTTGTATTCTTCACACAATAATAAAAATACAGTCTTTACGTCACAACACGCTTTGTTCTTTTATTGTTAAGGTATGTAATTGAAGATGGTAGTCCATATCGGCGCTCCACAAAGCAAACTCGTCCCTCCGGTCAGGGTGGCAGGGCTGGGAAGGGACGGGCTCCTGTTGAAGACTTTGATGATGATCGTGGCTGGTCCTTTACGTCCTTCACGAAAAAGGATTCGGTCAAAGACTCCGTCTCTGATCAGCAACTCAGTCAACAAGAGCTCACTGTCCGATATTCCAGTAAGAACGCTTGAATTCTCTAATTTTATCATGTCTTATTGATTTATTACCAGATTTGTTCTTCATTTCCTGTGCTTATTTTTTGTGGGCGTGCTTATTACTCTATTTCTGTCTTTAGTGACTGTACAAAGTACAACCTGCTTCTTAATTTCTTTATATTAGATCTTTGTGTAATTTGAGAAAACACCCTGAAATGTGTATATCTTTGTGCATCTCTTGTTAAGATTACTCAAAGTCTGTAGTGAAAACATTGTCTGCCATGGATCTTGATAAAATCAACATGGACCTTGTGGAGAGTCTGTTGGAGTGGATTGTTGATGGAGACCACAGCTACCCACCAGGTAAGAGCACCATAAACCCCTGCACTAGATGCCTGTTCAAATAATCACAGCCTTCTTAGTAAGGTTAAAATAAGTCACAGTGATGGACCGTGTTTTGTGTGTGTTTGTGAATGCACAGGTGCTGTTTTGGTCTTCCTACCAGGACTTGCTGAAATAAAGCAATTATATGAGCAGCTCCAGTCTAACAGGATGTTCAATAATAGAAGAACAAACAGGTACATTGTTCTTATGGGTTATTGCTGGACATGTTAACTGGCAATTTCTTAAAGTAGTCTGAATGAGTGAATTAATCAAGAACGTGTCCTGGTTATATTTCATCTGAAAATCAAAGGAAAATAATATTTTGTAGCATTCATTCATTCATTTTAAGCTTTCATATGCCCCTTGTCTCATTATCATGATGCAAACAAATGAATATTTTTGAATTGACAAGAAAATAATGTCACGTTCCACTAAAAGTCTTAACAATAAAC